CGATGGGTGGAGCCTAGTCTCCCCGCCCCTCGCCGGAGAGGCCGGGACACGCCCAGCGGGTACAGTCTTAAAGGGCTAGCTCTCGCCGGCGCAATTCGAGTGAGGCGTCGGACGACCCTTAAAAATTGCGGGGACTTTAAAGCACACTCCGACCCAGCTTCCTCACCTAAGAATTCCCGCCCTGAGCTTAGATTTCTCCCCCGGCTGCGGAGGGCGCGGGACCCCTAAGTTTTTGGGGTGGCTTGGAACTGGAGCCAAGGTGCGAACTGCGTCTGTGCCCAGGGCCTAGTACGTCCTGGGTTTGGATTTGGGCACTTCCTAGAGCTTGGGGCTGCTGGGAGGCTGTGTGCCAACCCCGGACCGGCAGGATTAGGCCTCCTCAAAGCCCCATTCTCCAAACCTAAGCCAATCAGGTCGCCCACTCACAGCGCAAACACAAGTATACACCCGTCACACATTTACTGAGCGCCTGTTGCACGTGGGGCTCATGCATCACGTTTGTGCGGGCCTCTCAGCCATGTGGCGGCTCTGAGGCGGGAATACAGACAGGCCGGAGGACTAAGGAAGGACCCCGCCCCCCACGGGGAATCCTCCAGTCACACCCTCTCCCTCCAACGGCTGTCCCAACTCGGTTCCACGCCCAGAACCTGCGGCCCGGTGGTGCCGGCAACTTAACACGGGAAGTTGCACTCCCGAGGAGCCCACTGGCTGCGAGCCTGGCGCAAAAGCTACCTCGCAAGATCCCGGCTGCAGGGTCTATGAGCCAGGAGGGGCGCGGGAACGTGCGCCAGCTTCCACCGCATCTACACGGCACCGAGGGGCAAGTCCGCGCGGGCCCCTGCAGCGCGCGGGCCCCCGCAGCGCGCTTGGCCTCGGCTCAGCCGCTGCGTCTAGGCCCCTTTGCATCGCGGTGCAGTGAACCGCAGCCCCCAGCAAGTGTCTGTGCTGGATTCAGTGACGTTCCCACCTCTCCCAAGAACAACTGGGGCAGAGGGTATTTGGAAAGGGAGAGTGCCTCGGACGTTTCTCTGGCTCAGAGCCTCCGAGGACCCCTGGCTGCGGTGCAAAGTCGGTCCGGAAGAGAGCCGCGCCGCCCCTCCGGGTCGGGCCCAGCCTGGCTGGCTGCGGATCAAAGGGCCGGGCCGTCCTCCTCGGCGTTCTGATCCTATCTGCGCCCGCCCAGCGGGGCGCCT